TTCCTGCTGGTTTGAAACCTCTCTGAAATACTCATCTTCTGTTAGGTGTGTAATACGGCACAGGCTGCCTTGAGGGGTGTGTGTATATAGATACATACATACATATGTAGATATAAACCAAGTGTTTATATAAAAATATGTATATGTATGCATACACACACATGCACACAGACAAATTTTTGGTGTTTGAGGCAATGAGGAGGTAGTTTAATACAGGTGAGAAGGGAATGCAGATAGTAAATACCCTTAATAACTCAGATTCGATGGATAGGACAAGGGGAAATGGCCTTAAGTTGCACCAGAGCAGGTTCAGGTTGGATATTAGGAAGAATTTCTTTACTGAAAGGGTTGTCAGGTATTGGAACAGGCTGCCCAGGGAGGTGGTTGAGTTGCCATCTCTGGAGATATTTAAGAGACGGGTGGACATTGTGCTGAGGGACATGGTTTAGCAGTGTTCATAGGACTAAGACAAAGGTTGGGCTTGATGATCTTGAAGATTTCTTCCAACCGAAACAATTCTATGATCCTATGAAAAGATTTTGTATTGTCTTTATCTTTGGAGATAAGGTGTGGCAACAGACTGTGAGGGTGAGGGAAAATGGTCTGCAGGGGTGGAATGTGTGAATTCACGTGGGTAATGCCTGGGTCATCTGCCCTTGAGTAAAGAGAATTTGCTCTCCCACAGAAAAGGAAGTGCACTAGTCCAGTGGCTCCTATGGGGCCCCATCCAGGAAAGCCAGGACTTGATCTTTCGAAAGGATGTAAACTGATCCTTATTTAAAAAATGGTAGCCAGATTGTGTGCTGGAAATTAAAACATTTTTACTAAACTCGACAATTCTGAAAGGTTTTTAAAGTTAATTAAGAGCTCTAGTAATCTGGATGTGCAGTAATTCAGCTTTACTATGGCTGTACAGATTCCCAGGAAGCAATACTATGGATTGTTTAACTGCGTTGCCAGTTAATTTGTTTTAAAACCAATAACAGTTGCTATTTCTATGTTAATTATGGCATATTCATTAACAGACAAAGTGGCCTTTCTGACCTATAGAAATCAATTGTTTCACCAATGACATTTAGAAACTGGCAGAATACAATTTTCAGAAACCTCTCCCAAGAGTAGTGTGAAAGCACTGAAGAAGAATAATTAATCTATTTCACAGGTGATTACAAAGTTTTGAAACTTTTTTTACCCCTCCAATTCAGAGAGAAAACTAAAAACTTCAAATAGTGGGACAGCTCTTCTCAGTCAAGTGATAGAGGGATCTCAGGGTTATTCAAGCCAGGTTGTTGGGAACAGGATTCTAGGAATGTGACTTCTTCACAGCGCATTGGGCAGATGCTTGCCTGGTTTCGATTGCAGTTTTGTCAGGGCTAACACAACGTTGTAAAATATCCACAATTCTGTCAGACTAGAAAATCCCGATTAAATAATGCTTCCTCTGAAGATTTCCAAACAATTCCTGTGCTATAACTGTGGTTTGAGAGGTTAGAGCCACGTGTCTGACTCTAAGGTAAGCAATACAAACCCACTTAGAGTAAACATGCGTTCTTATTTGCACCTTACAGAAATATCTGAGGAAGAGATTAAAAAAAAATAAATCTAAAATTTAGGTTTTATTTCCAGATGAATTGTAATTCATTTCAGATGCATTTTTGCGTAAATCAACTAAATGTGTGAACTTTTTTTGTTTTTTATAATGAATCAAATCATGTCAAGTTTACTGCCTTTATAATGTCTGTGATGATGGATACTTTCTTCTAATACAATTTGTCTTTTTTTTGCCTAGGGCGATATGGGATTACCAGGAGCAAAGGGAGCTGTAAGTAGAATGAATAACACTGTTAGAGAAATATAGAGATCTACTAGATCAGATAGATGGTTTTGTGATTTAGGAAAATAATGAGCTGAACTTTCCGTTACAGTTAAATTGAATGAGTTCTAAGAGCATTTATTCTGTTTAAATTTTGAACACTGTTAATATGAAAATGAATTAGCTTTGGAAAAAAATTCATATCCTGAATTCTAAGTGCCATAGAAAAGAAGCATCATTCAGCAGCAGTTTTCTGGCCAACTATTTTTTTATTTTATTTTTTTTAAGGGGATGAATGCACCCTTTGTACAGAAGGTGTTGTATAGAAAGGAGGCTCAGTGCAGTGGCTGTATGCAGCCTCTGATCTCTACACTGTGAAAAAGCTGGCAGTAGGACCTTGATATCTGTGAAAGCAGAAGTATTTTTTATTTTTATTTTTAATTTTAGGAACAACCAAATTATAGCTTTGATTTTGAAGGTGAGCAGAAGCTTGTACGTCATGTAAGGAAAAGAATTTGAAAGCTGCACGCATTCTTTCATTTCAGGGTCACTGAAGAGTGGGGTTATTACAGCAGCTGATAGTTTGGCCTGTGACACTGACGTATCAGAAGTTCTGCCTACAGGGAACTCAGGGTGACCGTAACAAAAAAAATATTCTGCATGTGTTCGCAGTGGCCTGTGTGACTTCAGGGCTAAGCAAATGCAAGCTAAGGGAGTGTTTACAACTGATCAAGGTCTTACAAGAAGGATATGAGGCAGATATAAGAGTTGAGGAGAAATCTATAGCTTTATCCCCCTAGATTTTTAAAATCCTCTACTCTTTATGAGACCCTAGAGTGCTTGATGTCCTAGTGAGTACATGTGAGTAAACCATCAGGGAGCGCAATGGATTTCACCAGGCTGAAGGGAATGGTGACTTCCTAGCTGTATAGTCCACAAAGGGAATTTTGCTGTCTTTTTGAAGCACGTTCTCTGGCTCTTCTCAGCAGTTTAGTTGACTGAGATGCAGCGTGGATGGAACTTAAATGGCTCCATCTTGCGGGTTTAGCTGATACCGCAGTTAAATAATTTTTCTTGAGCATCTCTTTCAAACAGATTGTTCTTTTTTTTTTTCGCCAGTAGATTTGGGAAGCTGTAGTTATGTAGGATTTATTTGGGGTTTTGTTGTGTCTTTGGGGGTTCTTTGGTTTTGGGGTGTTCTTTTGTTTTGTTAGTACTAGTATTGATTAATAATCATAAAATAACATGTAAGTAACTCAGAGGGGCATATTGGCATAGGTCTCACTCCGCGTGATATTTTAGCACTTCTAGAAAATGTACTGCAGCAGAAGCTATAACTTTATTAAATAAGTGCATCTAAGGGGACTACTGATGTAGCCGTGTCAATCCGTTCATTCCCCAGGGTTCAGGATGCTTATACCAGTAAATTAAGTCTTTCTACTGCTTTCCCTGATGCAACAAGCTGGCATCACAGCCACTCAGGCAGTTTGTGGACATAGTTTTTGTGAAGACGTTCCTTGCCCTGTTCCGGGAAACTTGAGTGTTGGCATTAGAACCTGTGTGCAGGGAGCTCTGGCACTGACAGATGGAAACAAAGCAAAAATGTGTGTTCTCAAGGAGCAAGGGGCTAGATGATATGGGCTGATGCTGTTATACTCTTTGTGAAAAGGCATGAAAGGCATTTGGGGCAAGCAGGGAGCTGGAATTTTTGGAACTTAAGGAACACTTAGTGTCTGGAAAAGTTTTTCGTGACATGCATGAGGGCAGAAGTAGAAATCAAGTCTGGAAGACGAGATCTTTTTCTTGACAGAAGAACAACGTCCTGTGCATGTCCCCCTGGATGCTGATTTGCCTCTCTTGACAGAGTACCTTATTTTTCCACTTATCCTCTTTAAGTGAAGTATACAGATTTCTTCTGAAGTTTATAAATGACACAACCACTGACTTCAGTTGCTTATTTGAGAAGAAGCTGTTCAACAACTCTATGTTTGCATTTGCAAATAGCTCCTGTCAGAAATGTCAAAATGAGTGTAACAGTAGGGCAGCAGCCATTGAAATCCCTCTCTTTCCTTGTCAGGTGGGTAATCCTGGAGAACCTGGTTCCCGTGGGCCTGAGGGAAGTCGAGGACTGCCTGGCATGGAAGGGCCACGAGGCTCACCTGGACCGCGAGGTTTGCAGGGGGAACAGGGTGCCCCAGGTCTGCCGGGCAGCCAAGGCCCAGCTGTAAGTGCTAATTTCATGTAACTGGTACCTTTTAAACTCTTTGCCATCACTCACACCACTCCTTTTATTTACTTTTCTTTTTTTGCATCAGGAGATGTGTATGTATGCAAACCCCACAGTAGCATTCGAAATACAGCATACCTTGCAACACATGCATGTGCACACCTGAGAAATCTTCGGGTTGTGTGCAGTTGGGTCCTCAGGTCCTCAGCTTTTGGTTCAGTTCCATTGTCTTATTTCCTCTCCTGCAGTGCACACAAAACCACGTTTACCACGTGAGCATATCTCACCCGGGTGTGCAGTCAAATTGACGTCAGCCGGAATAGTTGCACTTGCAGACTGGAACAGCTTTTCTTGACCGATGTATCCATTTGGGCTGGGAAAGAGTTAAATTTCTTCCTAGGAGCTTGTAGGGGGCTGTGCTGAAGACAACAAAATGTTGACATTTTAGTTATTGCTGAGCAGTGTTTACACAGCATCAAGGCCTTTTCTGCTCCTCACACCACCCTGCCAGTGAGTAGGTTGGAGGGGTAAAAAAGTTGGGAGGGGACCCAGCTGGGACAACTGACCAGAGGGATATTCTGTACCACATGAGTCGTGCTCAGCAATAAAATGAGCGAGGAGGTTGGTGGGGGGCCCTCTGCTTGGGGACTGGCTGGGCGTCAGTCAGCTGGTGGTGAGCAATCGTTTTCGTTTTCGTTTTCCATTTTCATTTTCCATTTCCATTTTCATTTTCATTTTCATTTTCATTTTCATTTTCATTTTCCAATTCTCTCCCTCATCCTGGTGGGTGGTGAGGGAATGAGCAGCTCAAGTGGGGCTTAGCTGCTGGCTGGGATTAAACCATGGCAACTGACAGCATTTTATCAGGTACACTTACAAAATGTACTGTGATATCCACTGGGTTTTTTTTAACTATTTTTTTTTTAATCCTAGGGAAAAGAACCAACGGATCAGCACATTAAGCAGGTCTGCATGAGAGTCATGCAAGGTAAACATGCTAAAAATGTATTTGATGTTTCTTGTGTATTTAAATCAGGATAATCTACTGCTATGAAGGCAACCAAGACTTTCCCACAAATAGTGTGGCCTCGGCAGGGTACCTGGTGGAAAAATCTTCCCATGTGCACTTGGGCACAGTGTGAGAAAATATGAGAAAGATGACCCTTATTTATATACACTTTGTGGCCTCATTGAACTCTTGTTGCTTCCACACTGTTACTGTATTAACCAGGCCATAGACTGGAGAGTTTTTTTGAAATACATATATTTTGTGTCAAAACACTTGCTGTTTCTGCATATATATAGTACACAGCTTCACTGAAAGCTTGTTTTGCCATTTGTACTCATATGCTAGTAGAGTACAGCAGACAAGCTATGTGCAAAATAGGTTAAAAAAAGAAGAAGAGGAGGGCAGAGAGAGGCTTTCTGGAGATGACATACCGCAAAATGAAAGCAATAGGCAGATGTTCCAAATCCTGATTACATTTGCTTAGTTCTTCTTCGAATCAAAGAATCCTAGAACAGTTTCGGTTGCCAGAGACCTTCAAGATCATTGAGTCCAACCTGTGTCCTAGCCCTATCAACACCACTAAACCATGTCGCTCAGCACAACATCTGCCTGTCTCTTAAACTCCTCCAGGGATGGAGACTCAACCATCTCCCTGGGCAGCCTGTTCCAATGCCTGACCACCCTTTCAGTAAAGGCACACGCAGAAATTTGGAGCTTTTCTAATACAGTTGAGTGTATGGAGTTCACTGTGTTTGAAATATATATGCTACCCTGTAAGCACAGAGGAGACTTTTTTTGGTACCTGCTACTGGAGGTTCCCTTTGGGATAGTATGCCTTTTTAATGTTAAGAGTTTACTAGAATGAAACTGCTGCTCATGATTTAATCTAAAAATCCTCAGTAACCATCCCTGTTCTTGCTACTGCCCCACTGGGTTGGTTTGGTTTTAAACTTTCTAGAAATAAGATTTCTAGAAATAAATAGTTCCTGGTTTGACAGGATTAACAAGTAGGAATGAAGAGACTCACAGAATGTTAGGGGTTGGAAAGGACCTCGAAAGATCAACTTGTCCACATTCCCTCTCAGAGCAGGTCACAGAGGAACACATCCAGGTGGGTTTTGATTGTCTCCAGAAAAAGAGACTCCACAACCTCTCTGGGCAGCCTGTTCCAGTGCTCTGTCAGCCTCACAGTAAAGACTATTTCCTGATGTTTAGGTTGAACCTCCTGTTTTCCTTTTAAGAGACAGTAATTGCATGAGTAAGTAGGTGGTTGAAATGTAAATGATACAGAAAACTGTAAGGACATTTCTAAATAAACTATATATATTTGAGTCATTTCAGCCTGTAAACATAAAATTTGTAAGATGTAGGCTTCCAAGTGACGAGCTTCACAGTGTGCCTATGTAGTTTGCTGCTGATAGTACCAAGATAATACCTAGCACATAAAAAAATTTTGTAAATGGCACTGTACATAAGGAAAGTGCTGCACTGTAATCTATCTGTTTCTGCAAGCAGAAAATTGACATTCTTCTTCACTGAATGTGGGAATCTTCATTCAGGTCCACTTCTGCTTCATTCTGTCCTCCTCTTCCTTGCAGAACAACTAGCTCAGCTGGCAGCCAGTCTTAAGAGGCCAGAATTTGGTGCTCCAGGTCTTCCTGGCCGACCGGGGCCACCAGGTGCTCCAGGGTCTGCTGGCGAAAACGGCTTCCCAGGACAGCTCGGTCCCCGTGGCCTGCCTGGCCTTAAAGGTCCCCCTGGTGAGATTGGTCGTAAAGGTCCTAAAGGTAAGACATTCTGTAACTGGCTTTCAGTTGTTGACTGCTCCAGATTTTTGTGGTTCCCTCCCTCCTCCCCTTTGGATTACAAGTTGTGAATATTCATTGTAAATGCGTGAAGTCGAAAAAGATCCTGAATTAGGAACCTAAGCTGTATCTTGTAACAGTTGCTTCAGTTGCCCCAAGCGATTAAAGAGCACATTGGCCTGGCCTCAGCAAGAATTTATTAGAAATCTCTTTGTTGTCGTCAAATCAGTTGCGCAGCGTGAGAAAGGACAGACATCTGCCTTGAACTGGCACCTGAGGCAAATTCCTCATATTAATTCTCCCTCTTGGGGACTTCAGAGGTTTGTATTTTTCACGTGCTGAAAAGTTCCAGCAGTATTTTCCTCCTTCTTCCACTCAGTCTGATTGTGGATCTCACTTCTGCAAGACTTGCGGTCCCAAAAGCAAACATAACCAGTCAGATTCATTTGCTGATCTCCAGCCTACTTTGCTCTGTCTATCCAGTTTCTCACATTACAAGTGACTTGATAACAATCTGCCTCGTATTTGGGTATAATACTTGAGCCATTTAACATCATTGCATCATGGACCACAATCTGTTTATTCTCTGGAAAGGACAAATCCATAATACAACTGACATATCTTACACTATACAAAAAATCTTCTATTTAAGTTAATCTCTTTTGTTCCTGACTGAGAGGTTTTATACTCCTCCAAAGGATTATACGGTAGAATTTTCTACACGGTCTTAGGACCACTATGTATGTATCAGTTTCTATTCAAAAGAGATTTTGATTTATTTTCCTGAAGGAAGGTTTTATTTAAGAATTTTATTTCTGCACAAAGCTGGTCTGTTGCTGGATTAGAGCATTTACTTTTATCTCGAGCTTTGTTTGAACGTAAAATTGGGAAAACCTTTGAGAAAAGGAATAGAATACCAACAAGGCAAGCCTTAACACCATTGTTGCTGGAGCTCTGTTACTGTTTCCATTTGAAGTGATGTCATCTATATTTGCAGAAGCAACCCAAAAATGGAGGCACAAAGGTGGTCAGATACGCTGAATTTGATTCAGCACGCAGCAGGCTGCACTGTGTTAATTTTTTTAAAAAAAGCTAAAGATCTACAGAGAGTAGAACGAACCCAAACAAGCAAGATGCTTTTTTTCCTATCATAAGTGTCATCAATTCCCAGGTTACCTTACAGTAGACCTTGAAATACCATTACAGATACAAGAGAAGTGGTAAATGCTCTCATGTGCAAGACCTCTTGTGATGGTACCCGGGAAGCGACCTGAAAAAAATCTCAGTGCTTTGCTCTGGTTCCCGGCAGTTACCAGAGTTCCACAGAGATGAACTGATTTTCCCTGTCCATTTGAGGAGTTGTCCAAGATTGGAGTGAGAGGAGAGAGGGTACCTAGGACGTAGGATAAAAGAGAAAAGGAGGAGGATGTTGAGAATGGTTTAGAATGTCAGGATAAAGAGGAGCTGGAAACACAAGGATGTCACGATGAGATACAGCAGAAGATACAGAAGTACAGCGATTTTAGCAGCATCAGAAACAACAGATGCAAAAAGAAGTGACTCAGGGAAGAAGAGTATAGTAACTCTAAGGAGCAATCTGGGGCAGTGAAGGAGGGCAGAAACAGAAACAAGAAGTTGGAGAAGTTTGGGGTAACAGCAGGTAAATGCTGCTCTGAGGTGTTCAGTAGCTGGTAATAGCAGAAGTCCAGATGAGTGCCCCGCATCCGGTGCGGCTGGTAGTTTTAAGTACAAAGACGGGCTAAGTCTCCACATTGGCTAGGCAGAGATAAGATTCCTCCTCTGATACCCGGTGTGCATCTTTTAGTGCATCTTTTATTGAAACTTGAACTTCTGTACTGACTCTTGTGTTCTTTTACGTAGCTTCCTTGTTTTCTGTTGTGTCATTTCTAGGCAAGCCACAAACATTCAGTCTTAACTTCCCTCAGCGCAGCGCAAGAAAGTATGGAAATACAGAACATAGCTTCCTCTTAGTAGAAAAGCTTCCTCTTAGTAAGATGCTTCTTGTTTGGGGCAGCATACAAGTTTGAAGAAAAGCTGGATGCCCACCAGAGAAAAGTCTCCTTAATACCAGTAAAATGAGAACTAAGTTCTTTGTTTTACTTTTATCAATGTCTTATGTGGATGGCAACAGAATACTGTAATCTGTGCAAGCTAGCTTCCCTTCTCTTCCGTAGGTGTCTCAAGGACCTGCACTTGAGAATGTTTACTTCTTAACTGAATTCATGTGGTCTTATGAAAGCCCTTGACTGGTACCTTCAGTCTGTGTTCTGAAAGAGCCTGTGTAGTTCTGTGAGTTTGGTTTATTTCTGTTATGTAGTGATAAATTAAGGACATGTGTCAGGACATTATTCAAAGATGCTAAAAATATATATACAGCCACTTGAATTCTGTTTATTAACTGTTCACCTCTGAGAGGGAACTTACTGAAAATTGTACTCCAAGAAGGCTGCAACTAATCTTTCATGAATTTGCTTTAGGTGAACCAGGAGAAAGAGGAGAAAGAGGATTTCCAGGCAGAGGAGTGAAAGGTTACCCTGGACCAAGAGGTCTTCCAGGTAAATATAAGAGGACAAGGATAAAGAAGGAGATGCAGTACAAATTTATTCAGAACTGATACCTCAAGCTGCCTTGAAAAGATAAAAGATAAAGTTCCAAATAACAGTACTTCATAATTATCACATCATAGGTAATGATATGGTTACAAACTATTAAATAATAAGAAGAATTAAAATAAGAATGAAAAGCTTTTTTTACAGAAGAGCTACCACTCAGTTTATCTAGGTGTAGAAAAATTAGGAAAAATGTATAAAAAGCGTAAAATAAAAAAAAAAAAGAGGCAGTCGCACACATACACTCACGTATATAAAATTGCCTCTATTTTATATAAATATATTTGTAATATATATCTATAAAATAAAAAAGGATCACAAACCCCAGATTATTTTGCTGGCAACCACAGCATTTTTCAAAATTTCCGTGCAGAATTTAGGACTTTCAACGTACAATTCTCCTTTATTTTTGTGCTAATTGCAGTGTTATGTAATAGGGGTCCAGGACAGATTCTTGCTGATAAATGCAACACAACTGGCCTCTAGTGGCCTCACTGAAAATAAACATGTTACTTCCATCAGTGTCTCTCTAGAGCATGTTTCTCTGAGTGTGTATATTTACACACAGAAACTACTAAAATTTGTTTTCTTTGTAAGAAAGAAAAAACAAACGAACAGTTTATTATATACCTAGGATGTCTGTGAAACTCAGGGTTGCCGTCTTTAGGAAATTATCATTGGGAGAGGCTTACTAAAAATTACTGTATTTGACCTCTTCATTGAAGATTTAAAAGCAAAAAAGATAATTTTGTGCTCAGCAGTTCCACTCCAGATATCTATTTCCCCAATAAAAACAAATTCTTACTATGTCCCTTTCCAGAGCACTAACCCACCTCCGAAGTAGAATCATAGAATCATTGAGGTTTGAAAAGACCTCTAAGATGATCAGTCCAACCGTCAACCCAACACTACCATGACCACTAAACTATATCCTGAACTGGCACATCTACACGTTTTTTTGAACACCTCCAGGGATGGCGACTCCACCACTTCCCTGTGCAGCCTGTTCCAATGCCCCACCACTCTTTCAGTAAAGATTTTTTTCCTAATATCAAATGTAAACCTCCCCTGGTGCAACTTGAGGCCATTTCCTCTTGTCCTACTGCTTGTGACTTTTGAGGGAAGACCAACACCCACCTCGCCATGACCTCGTTTCAGGTAGCTGTAGAGAGCAGGAGTGAGTAGGAGCTACACACACCTTCATACCCATCAACAGGGTTGTCTGTGGTCCTGCCCTCAGTTACTATTGCCTAACTTTTAATAGCAGCACATCTGCAGGTGCAGATCTTGAGAACTTGAAATTTCATCATTATAGATGTGTAAACCCAGCCTGGTTGTCTGTTAGAGGAAAACTCTCTAAGTAGTCACCTCCCTGGGTGGATCCACTGAGAGCAGTAAAAAAATACCGCTTTTAAGAACAGAATGTTCATAAAAAGCACCGTGTAGACTAAGCAAATCGTAGGCTGCTGCTTTTTAGACCTGCATTTGCTTTTCTAGGTGAACCAGGCAAACCCAGCTATGGCAGAGAAGGCCGCGATGGTGACCGAGGTCTCCCTGGAGTGGCTGGGGGGGGGGGGGGGGGCGGGGCCGCGCGAGGTCTCCCTGGAGTGGCTGGTCAGCCTGGGGTTCCCGGTCCTCCCGGCCCTCCTGGCCCTCCCGGGTACTGCGAGCCGTCGTCTTGCAGGGTGCAGGCTGGGCAGAGAGCTGAGAAGAACATGAAAGGGCCTTGAGCGGGGCTGCGCAAGTGCCACGGGGTGTCGGCATTGATTTACTTCCTGCACAGACAGCTGAGAGAAAAATATGGAAAGAAGGAGAAAAGTGGATAAGGAGAAACCTTTCAGCCAAGGTTTCAGTAAGTCATTTTTAACACAGCGGTTGTATGTTCTTTTGCAAGGTGTGCTTAGCAACACAAGCTGGAACAGTGGTGCTTACAGAATTACAACGGTGCTATCTTCTGGCTCTTTCACCCTTTGGAGGAAAAAAAAGGCATTTGTCTATTTTTTTATTATTTTTTTTTTAAATAAAAAGTTGCTGTGATTTCTCCTCCTCCCCCTATGTATGATGTACAGTGAAATAATGTGTCTTCAGACATCCAATAAAAAAGGAACAGTTTATTTACTTTAGTAGTAGTTATTCTTTCATGTTTATAAAATAAATTCCAGAGCACTCAAACAAAAGACATCACTTTGTGCCCAGTCATTTCATTGTGTGCATGTCCGGTACAGGATATGCTAAACCTCCCTCAGCTCTTCAGTTTAATGGCAGAAACACCAGTGGGAGGCTGTTCCTATGAAAATGTGATACCTTTTTTGCTGTGATACTCTGCAGAGGGCTGATCACTGGGTTTCCACGAGTGATAACACAGAATAACTCTGTCCTCTTCCACTCCAGTTTGCGTTGCAGTCGTAATTTTGTATGAAGCCTATTCCAGCTTGCCACCTCCTCTGTGAAATTGAAATAAAAAACGTAGTAGCCACTGTCAAGGGAATTTTAAGTCCCAGAAACATAAGTTTTATAGTAGAGGTTACAGATGTTGACGTAATATCTGTGGTTGTACAAAAAACCCCAAATAAATAATGTTTTAAACCCCAATATGTTTTTGTACGTATGTATGGTTACAGCCAGTACCAATAAAGAGAACAGCTAGAAGACTGCCATTAGCCCTTTCAGGCTGCCTTTTTTAGATGAACTCAGTTTTTAGAGGAAAATGTGCAATGTGGATACTTTGTTTCTCTCTGCATAAATTAAACTATTTGTGGTATTTGACTTTACCTTCTCTGAAGTGTATTCTCTCTCAAAGACAATGATGAAACCATCCCATGATGTTTCCTTTCCAAATTTTCAAATACAAACTTCGGCATACTTGCTTTAAGCATTGATGGTTTGGGTTTTTTTTCCTAGTCCTTAATTGTCTGCTGATGTTCAAAATAGTTGACTTGTCATTTGAACTGTGCGTTTTGCATGTAATGTGTAAGTCAACACTAAAGGGAAAGGTAGTGGTGTAATATATACTCTAAAAGAATTATTGACAAAAACAATAGAAAAGCCTTCCTCAAACCAAACCTGATTCAGTAGCTGCAGCTAAGAACTGCTTCTTTAGCACTTCATGTGTTGAAAGAAAATGTCACTTGGGAGTAAAACATCTGGTAAAGCCTAAAAGAAGCACTTTTATTGAAGACCTTTGAGAAGGCGTTAAATGGGATTAACTTGATGATCTCTTTATATTCCTTGCACAGCCCAGTATTTTAACAAGTAAAGAGATTAGATTTTACAAGTGAGTATAATCTACAGAATCACAGAATTATTGAGGCTGGAAAAGACCTCTGAGATCATCGAGTCCAGCCTGTGACCCAACACCACCACATCAG